GGCTCCACAGGCACCAGGACTCTTGATTTTCAATTTTCCAGACATTTTGGGGTTATGCAGTGACCTAGAAAAAGCCAACTTACTGAAATTATGCTGCAGATAATAGGGTTCTAACTATGTAAACAAGAATGACAGTTTTCAATCAAAATGAAGGTCTAACTACACCAGACCCCCTAGGAATGATGACTTTCCGTATTTAATTCTGGTTTAAAGTTCAGCATGATTAACTTTATCTTTTAGTTCTTTTGTTATGAGAAATCCACCCACTACCAAAACCTTGACACACAAACCCAATACACCTGTTTTTAGTTTAGATAAATTTAAATAGAGTGGCGTTATTGCATGTACTAAAGCCTACTCTCAGATTTCTTGAACTCAGCAAGACTGGATAGTACAATTCACCCCCTCCAAGTCTACTCAGCTTGTTACCACTGTCCCAAACATGCGCTATCAAACAGCATGACAACATCCCGTTGGCTATTCTAGAATATGAGCAGATGATGTGTTTTTCAGTGGTGTTGCATATTAGATTGAAGAGGAGGCAGGAATCAGTGGCTCCAAGGCATTCTGTCAGATCTTTGGACATGACATTATAGATAGTCACAGAGAATCTGCAACACTGTCCACTGAGCTCTTGACCTTACCCATTTTTCCTCCATGGTGTCATTAAATGAACTACAGTTCATGGAAAGCCAAGCACAGGGCTATAGAGATGTAGAGTCTCCTTATATTTCCATTTCACAGAGTAATGGCATGTTTCAAGAAAGATTTGCATTGTAGTCACACTGGAGGTTCCCCTGAGAACACAGATACTTTACAGACACAAATCAAAAAGAACTTGCCCCAAATAAACTAACAGCCTAAGTAGGAATGCCTTTAACACAAACAAGCACACTGCATCCTTTAACTGCAAATAGTTGTGAGATAATGCAAAGCAAGGGGTACGCTGTGTTCCAGGGACATGAATATATCCCAAAGGTTCAAGTAGAAGTCAAAGGGGTGGTAAAAATAGAGATGTATATCTGAGACACAAAGTAGAAGGAGAGTTAATCTCTTATTTCCAGATTAAATTCTTCTCTTTTGGCGTTATGTAAGGGTCAATCTGTAACAATTACTGTTATGACTGCAGACAGAAAATTCCTGCTCTCTGCCCCAAGGATTTCACAAGCTAGTTGCACTTACAGTCACTGGCCACATAGGCACCACATAAAACAGGAGTTGTACTAGCATCATAGTCCATCGCAGGTAATAACTCTGCTTTGATCCCTTTCGCACGGTCACAAAGGTTTCATTCTCCATGACATTACACCAGACCTGAGTTGGCCCACACAGGGGATGGGTAGTCTATGGCCAGTAATGCCCACCCTCTTAGCACAAAAATAAATGGGTACAGGAAGGAAACATGAGGACTGAAGTCAGGGGGAGACACTGCTGCACAAGGTGACAAATAGACTATATTCCTTCCAGAGATGGAGAGGAAGGTAATCAGTAGAAAATGATATTTCACAGGGTGTCCAGAGCCAAATGCTTTCCTGAAGTAGCCTTCATACAATCCTTCGGGATTCAGCCTAGCTTCTGCTGCACCATAGCTGCATCTCTCCCTGACCTGCAAAAAGACTTCAAAATTTGAGATCCATCCCAACCCCACATAGCTCACCAGCCTTACATGTTTAAGACAGCCTGAAGTGTGTAGCCAGCAGAGGAAAGGAGAAAGCCAACACCATATCTCATGCCAGCTGGCTAGGTGACCACAGAATGCGTCCTGGTGGAACACACCACTGGTTCATGCAAATGATCCATTTCAGCCGCTGCTATATCCTCTCCTCAGTGGTCCAGGTGGTGAATTCAAATACTCTTTCTGAGGCTAGGAAGCTGAGCAGAGTGGGCAATGAAGGATACTACTAAGAGTTTTCCACTTAGCCTCTTTCAACCTTGCCACAGTTTCTACAGGCTGAGATTATGGATTTTGCATTATATTTTGTCATGAATATCCAGTGAAGACATGAATTTCTAGTTTGATGTCCTGTTGTTGTCAGGCGTAACTTCCTGAAGAGAGACTTTTTCCTTTGGCTTATTTATTTCTTTATTTTCCTTCAAGTGCAGCCTAAACTCTCCCTTCCTGTTGGGAACAACAGCTGCAGCACGCGGCATCAACTTGCCAAGCCTGAATGACTGTGAAATATCATTTATCTTGAAGCAAGATAATATCAAAGAGAACAACCACGTGGGCCTGACTATGAATTCATTACATAGCTGTGCTTAGGAGGAGTAGGATAAGTTGCAGTAGCAGAGGCAAAAGAGGTCCCACTTCTGAGCTAACACTCTTGGACCTGAAAGAACTGTCACATCTGAAAGCACTACTGAGACAAACAGGGAATTTTGGTTTCCTTGCTCAGAAAAACACTCTGAGTGTTCAAAGGTTGGAGTTACAAAAGTATTCAGGAGGGCAGGAAAATGATACTTCTGTAGATTAATGGCAACACGGTAGCCCCAGAAGATCAAGTATTTGGCTGATGAAAGCCACACGGCTGACACACACATTTGCCAGCATACCTGCATTATCCCACAGATTCGGTGGTTCCTGTATGAATGACACAGCCCTTAGATACAAATTGGTTTCAGCTACCCTTCTGTTATCTTCCTTTCACCTTTTTGGGGTGCTTTGATGCCAGAAGCAATCACTGTATTTAAAGTGTAGGCGAGAGCTCAGCAAGCTGGAAATTAACAATTAATCACATATTTTCCCCACCACCACTCCACTCCCATCTTTTGCTCTGGGTTCTTTTGGTGCCTCCTGTGCCCCAGGGGCAGTCAGCTGAGGGTCGGGGCAACCAGACAGCACTGGGTTGCTCTTTGTTTTGTGCCCCAGTCTCAGGCTCCTCCGGAAGCATGCTGGGCTGCATAGAGCTGTAGTGCTTGCTTCCCTTTTCAACCTCACATATTTCCCATTAATGACGAGTGGGAAAGGTCAGGGAGGGTCTCTTTAATGGCCTGCTTGAGGGCAAGCAACTGCCTTGGGAAATGGCTCTCTGACTTCCTGGGAATCCCAGTCTATTCAATAAGCAAAGAAAGAAGTCCTAAGAAAAGTGAAGATATCAAGGTGTTGGAGAGGACTTTCCCGTGTGGGCTTGGATCTGCCAGAATCCTCTTATGTAAACTTGGGTATAACTCTCCCAGTGATTTTGGTGGTAGAAGAGTAGCCTTAACGAAGAAGACAGATGCAGGAAGTGTTGCACAGATGCAAAGGGGTACACGCTAAGAGCTAACCAGGCTCAGTTTAGGGCAGCCCACTTTCATGCACCCATTTTGAGTAGTCTGCCACAAAGCTCCTGGGAAGGATCTAGACCACCGGCACTAACATAATGAAGGCATCAATACCTTCCATTCTTCAGCTCAGCTGCAGCGGCTGAGAAGTCTTTTCTCGACAGTAGTTCTGAAATTTCTCAGGGATCAGGATGATGAAAGCTTTAAATGCAGTAACTTTGCATGACAACAATTCTCGTGCCCCAGGACAGAAAGCCACAATTTTACTGTGTACATTGTGCTTCAAATATAGAAGTAGTAATAGATAACATGCCCATCAGTATTTTCATAAATAAGCTAGCCGGTGTAAATCAATGTTACACTATAGAGTTGAAGCCAGAGGAGCAACATCAGGAGATTTTGCTATTATTTTTTCCTCTTTGTTTTGTGCTTTGCTTTGCTCTGTCCATCACTAAATGTTCCAGAGCTCTCTACCACAAGCCCAGAGTGTGGAAAATGCTGACCAAAGTCATTTACTGTATCCACGCTCACAAACAAGCCGTTATTTGTCGTTGGCATGTAAATAAGTCACTGTTCTTTCCATCCTATAGCTGCTAAATAAATACTGTGAACAAACTTCGCATCATTGACTTCTTGTAGGAGGTCACTCAGATGATTTCACAGAAATATCCTGCAACAGTTTTGCAAAACAGGATGAGTCTCAGCCTGAACTTCGTGACTGTGTTTTTTTCCACTTCCATTCCAATGGTTACTGTGTTTTTGCTGTCACAGGCAAGCGCTTAATTTATCCTGACCCACAGAGACCAGGAAAATGGAAACTTTGTCCACTCTTCTTAGTGTCTAAGACCTATGGGTTATAAATTACTTGTATTTTGGTATGACCTAGAAGTCCTAGCCCATGTCAGCCGCAGACTGTGTATGCACACTTACAACAACTACATACCGCTGATTGCAGTACAGGGTGCAGACAGCCAAACAGATAGCTTTAAATAGTAGCAATATAAATGAGGGAACTGGTAGTCTAGACCAAGCTGAAAAACTTGCTGCAGAGTATGAGTAAATTAACCAATGCAGACCAATAAATATATCCTATTTATAAAAAACGCCTGCCTGTAGATTAAAATAAAAATACCAAGACTGGAAGGGAATCAGTTGTATCATCTTTATTCTACAGATGACAAACTGAGGCAGAGATTAAATGCTTTGCCCAAGGTGCCACAAGAAGCCTTTGTCAGAGCCAGGACTGGAGTTACCTGTCCCTCAGCCTGTGCCACAGTTATAGGTTTCTCCTTGCCCTGAGCAGTGTAGATTCATGCTACGTGCTAACATAACTACTCTGACCCAGTAAATGTCATTCTGAATTTTCACCCGTTAAAAGGACAGAATCAGTTAGACTGTGAGCGTTCAGGATACTGCTGGGCAATAAACACTGAAAGTTCTACTTTTGGGAAGGGAGTCAGCAGCAAGTTTTGCACTTAAAAGAAATAATATCAACAGTGGCGGGTAGGGGTTTGGGAGGCGAATCTAATAGGTGTGTCTAGATTTGGCTAAGGACAAAAAAGAGCGTTTTCTTTCCACTGGTTGCTAGCTAGTAAAAGCAAAGGGGTGGAATACATCCAACTTGCAAAACTTGAATACAGTTACTGCTATCTGCAAATGGGTGCCCCTCCCCGCTCATGTGAGCTACACAGGCAAAAGAGAATGACACATGTGCTGTTTCCTTTTCCAGTTCTAAAGGGGTCAGGAGCCAGGCAAGGAGAGCCCGAACAAGAGCAGCATTTTCCTGGGCTCTTCCAGCTGTTCTGTTCAATCCTGCCGTCGGTTCTGAGCAGGGAAGAGAGACTGTCAACACAAATAAGGCACTTTTCAAAGGCGTAAATTATGAGTTACCAAAACAATGCGACATCTCAACCACGTGAGTACCATTATCCTCCCCCTCTTTACAGTAAGGGTGGATTTATCAGTCTGCCGCTTAAGGAAAAGGTTGTTTAATGCGCTTCATATGCAAAAAAAAAAAAAAAAAAAAAAAGCCTGAGACTAATCCTGGAGAAAAAAAAGTTGTGATGAAACTGGTTTCCTTTTTTTATTCTTTCTGCTTGTGCACGCGTGTGTGTGTGAAGAATTGAAACGGGCTCTGCAAACTGGCTCCTGAATAGGACGAAGCAAAGTTAGTAACGCTTCCGCCTAAACCGTGGCTTAGAAAAAGTTTCAGTCGAATGTTTTTCCCTCCCCCCGCCTGCAGGAATGAAAATATAGAGCATTTCGAAAGTGTACTGACTCTTTTCTAAGATATTAATGGTGCTGCCCGACTTGTGTTTAGAGCTCAAGCTGTCTGTGTGTAATATGAGACGCAAGCCACAAACTGACATTCTATATTTAAAGCCACAATGCGTTTCTGCTCTTGAAAATTTAGAAACATGGTCTTAAGGACAAGCAAATTAGTTTCTCAGCAAGAGAGGGTACAGGAGGGCAAGTTCTCTGCTGGCGTAACTTGGCATATTTCAGTAAATTTGAACAGACAGAATTCGGCCCAAACAGTCAAGTGAGCACAGAGGCTCAGCTGCAGCATGGTAGTGTTCATTTTGGGATAGTATTAAAAAGAAAGCAGAGTGGAAGGGGGTGGATTCTAACTTGATAAGCTAAGAAAAGTCAATAGGGAAACTGAGGTTTTGGTGTTGCAATAGCTCCATATCTCTTTTATGGCTTTAGTATAATCTTTCCTGTTTTAATTCAAGACAGTAGTTTTGTATTATTTTTAATAAAAGAACTGCCAATAGCAGAATTGTTTATCATACTGTGGTATCAGTAACAAAGGCAGAAAGTACAGACGGCACTGCTGAGAACTGCCTGAGATTCAGGATTTGATCCAGAGGTTGCTGTAAGATTATTTCTTCTATATGGTTGAATATTTGTTCTGTATGGTTGTTGACACTGACAATATTTCCCAAGCTCTGAATGAGGCAGGCTGATCCAGCAGAAATGACACAGTGAGCAGCATCTCTGGAATCCCGACTAGCATTTTCTATTTACCCTTTAGTCCTTTTTGCAAGTTCTAACCAACAAGAAAGATCAGATCCTAGCTTTATATTATATTTTATTTTATTCAGCAGTTTAGAATATTATGTCTTGTTTTCTACTGTTTCTATTACAGCTTGCTTTCTGTTATTGATAGGAAACAAACATGCAGACTAATTCAGGATTCTGAGACTTTGTGTTTGGAAAAGCTTGAGTAAATTACTGCCATTGGTGCTCTCCAAGCATGTGCAGGAGGGTGGTCGTGACTCATTGAGGTGCATTTTGCTCATTGCACAAAACCAACAATGGTTCAGACCCAGTCTTGTATCTTTAGTGACAGACTTGGCCATGTGACAAGTCCAGGACCAGCTCTACAGTCCTGAATATATTACAAATCACTTCTCAGAGAGACTCACATTGTCAAGGACCCCACAGAAAGCCCTAGGGTGGGTCTGGATGAGGAGTTAGTACCCCATGGGGCCTTTTGTCTATTCATAGTGAGAAAAAGCTGATGCATCAAGTTCTCCCATTTTTTTCCAAAACCTAGGCAGGAATTCTCAGCTTGAATCATTTTAAGATCATATGATTGCCAGTGAAAATAAACGGCTTGCAATCTAGCCAGAAGAAGTATTATGACTAAAAAATAGTGACTATCTAACTGTCGATTCTTTAATCTGACTATCTATTCTTTACCTGCCCTTATAATTTCCCTCACTGATGCAGACAGGATGTTCCTATATTTTTCTTCAGTCTGTATTTGGTTTTGGTTTGTTTTTTTTTTTCAATTACATTGATCAAATTTACAGATTAAGAAAAAAATTAAATTAAAGGTAAGTCTGATAGTACTATATTCCTGTGTAATGCAAGTTTTGTGCATTGTTTATATAATGGTTGAGGTTTTGGGGGTTGCTCTTGGGGAAAACGTTCTTATTTCCTAGTAAAATTCCAGCAATTTTTGCAAGAAACAAGAAATTGAAAGATCAGTGTATTGACAGGCACTGCACAGCATGGACAGCAGATGTTTGCCAGAGAGGCAGAATAATTGGGAAAACAAATTTGCTTCATAACCACAGCGAAAATCTTTGAAATGGGTGTGGAAATGCATGAAGAATCAGCAAAAACCTTTTACTATAAAAAACATAATAATTCTTCACTGAGTACCTGCAGGTGAGACCACAGAGCAGCTGCCTACTGATGTAAACTGAACAGTGTTAAGTTACCTAATTGCTCATGTTCTTTGCTTATCTCCTTGTATTCGCTCGTGGCTGATAAGGAATTTTTATTCATTTTATAAATGCAGTATTATCCTGGTAATCCAGGTGGGAGCAGACTACTGTTTCAGATTTAAAATATTCACCTCTGTGAACTCTGCAAATGTATTCTGCCTCTATATGGGCATGCCACATCATCTAACCTTGGGCACTTCCCATGCCCAGCTCAGATATCCCATCGCTCTGAGTGGGCTCTGTATACACTCAACAGAGAGGCAAGGGAGTCAGCCCGCTGATGTTAGGCAGTGTGTGTATGTTTACTCCATCATTAATTGTTAATGGACATTTGTGTGTGGCTGGAATAAAATGGAAAACCTAAGTAAAGAAGTCTGCTACCAAAGCCAAAAAACGGAGTTGGGCTTGAATTTCATTGGCTGTCCTCTGAACATATCTCCAGTTTATTTTCTTCTTCTTCTGATATAAAAGGGTCCTAGCCTGACTGCTAGGAATGTGAACATTCTGATTCTTAAATGCATAATTTTCAAATGCATCGCCTTCTGGTGATGCATTTGCTTCCTCCCACCTCTGCTGCATTTGTTTCCTCCCACCTCTGCTCAGATGTACAGGCCGTAGCTGCCTGACTTATTACAAAATCTGAGGAATTCCACAGGTTCGGCAACCTCTGTTCAGACTGCAGCTATTGACCTCTTCCTTTTAGACTGCAGTGACCCAGTTCTGAGGCAATTGGACAGCTGAAACGAGGTGAAGGACCCACGTAAATAAACGTCACCAGGTCAAAGGTTCAGTCTGGGGAGGCAGTGATCTATGCAAAGCCATCTTTGAGGGTCAAGGGTGTTCATCCCCTTGGAGAAGGGCTCTGCACCTTACATGATTTAATCTGTACTCAGCATGCTGGGAATGTTTTATTTGGGGCCTCTTATACTCCAAATGCCAGCTTTCAAAGGAATGAGTGGTTAAGGAGAGCAGTTTGTGGAGGCTTCTCTTCCTCATCACCTACCAGCAGAAAAGGTCTTCTTTCTGGGTGGGTAGGGAAGCAGTGAGGTCTGTGCTATATAGGTTCAAAAGGAAACTGGGAGGTAAGCCTGGACCTCAGGTCATACCTCAGCTGCAGAGAGAGGAAGAGGGTCAGGAAGGCAGTGAAGCAAAGCAAGCCTTGTGAGCTGTATGCGTTCCATCTGCATTGCCAGCTGTAGTTCAGCAGTAGCCCAGGTGCAAGCCCTGCCCTGAATAGGGGGAGCAGACCCTGCTGCTGCCTCTGTCCTGCAAGCAGAAGGACTCGGCTCCATCATGCCCAGCTTCTCCACCTGTCACAATGACATCTAGGGCTTCTGGCAAAAACAGTGGGCTGTCCCCTCCAGAGAGGCTGAGAGCTTGGCAAAGGTGGCCCCCCATAAAGGCAAAGTGACAGCTATGAATGGTGAGTCTCATTCTGAGAACAGTCTTGTCCTATCGTTAACTAATTATGAGATATATTTTGGGGATGCAAACTGGTTCTTTAAATGTTCCTGGAGCAATACCACTTACCCTTTCCACAGGGCCTATGAAAAGCTGAAAATTATCCCCATAGACTTTTAATCATGTTATTCAACTGCCTTGGCAATAGATTTGATTTCATTGCCCTTAATCAACAGAAGCACTTGTCGGTGACAGTAACTAATAAACCAAAATGGAGGCTATTGATTATGAAAATTTTGGTCTTCACTAGTAAACTTGTGAGCATTTATAAGCAAGGAAACATACAGATTATAATAACCTCTCATTTTTAGCACAGAACTGTCAAAACGTATCCCACAAGCATTTATGTAAATTGAATGCCTCTGCTTGTATATTTGTCTCCTACTACTGTGTATATGAATTGGAAAATTTGGCTTTATACCCCAGGGCTCTATTTGACACCCTCATTGCCTGACATGTTGATGTGGAAGTCTGCAAATTGAAAGGCTCAGAATGCACCTGAAATTTCAGTAATTAACAGCAGAAATGTTGGCAAACTGCTAAGCTGGAGGGAATAGGGGGGATGTCCACCCAAACAAGAGTTTGCTTTTTTTAAAATACACAGTTCTCAGCATTTCTGGGCACTGCTTTTCACACACACACACACACACACACACAGGTGGGGAATAAAAAGGGGAAAAAAAAGCCAATGATTTACACAGTAGATGTTAAAGATTCAGGTTATGGCTAATTATATACTTAAGCCTATCAGTATTACAGAATCGTGCAGTGTCTGCATCTCATTGTTGTTACTGCTGCACCTTCCTTTCTAGACTCTTGTGGAATATACCCTGTACCCATCACTGTTCAAATGACTGAGTCCAATCAGCAAAGCCTTTTGTAAAACAGGCTTTAGGGACTGCATTCTCTAATGAAAGTCTGTTTGTGTGTCTGCTCTGTGGAGTGCCTGTCTCTATTGTTGGGGAGGGATTAGTATTCCTATAGCATAGAGAAATTCAAGCCAACAGAGGGATCTGATTGTGCTAAGTGCTGTACAGGCACCCCTTCTTCAAAACATCAGTAGACAACAGAGAGAGGACAGATTACAGGTAGGAGAGAAATTACTGCTTTCCAGGGGCAGTGCTGGAGAGGCAGCTGTTGGCTATGGGAAGGCATTTATAGCAGCCAGGATGTAGGAGTTAGTATTGATTGCAGCAGATCCACTGGGGCAACA